CCCGCATCCCTTTCTGTTTTGGCATTTTGGTTTGTCATATAAAGCTTTCAGTCATGATTTGATATCCCTTGTGCTGAGTTTAGTATCAGTTTCTACTGTCATTCCTGGAAATAAATAGGTAATAGATAGCTAGCTAGAGAGGTGAGTTTCCAGTGCCCTTTGAAATGCAGGGTGATCCAATGAATCTCTTAATAAACAATATCAGCTATAGATCTGTTGATTAGACCACAAATATCCATAGATCGAGTCTGAACTTCAGGGTGTATTTTTAGTTGAGTTCAAGTTCACGAAGTGTTCATGTTACCAGCATGCTCTGGTTTCGGAGTCTGGTGTTTTGAGTCCCAAGTGCCTGGATAAGGAACAGGAATCTACAGGTGCTAAAAATCAAAGTGTATTGACCTGGTTTACTTTTCTCAAAAGAGTGGTGTACATTAAGAATGAAGTAATGGTTATTTGCTGTTTTTATATCCCCATTTCAGTGAAAGTAGGTGGTAAACAACAGCACGATAAAAAATGGTACCAGTCGTTGAACTAGTTTAGAAAATTGGGCCACCTTGGCAGATATGAGAGACTGTATATGGTTATATTACCTGAATCCACATTTATTGTCTCTCCAAAAATGAGTGCACTGGAAGAGTTTTATTTTAATATTTTGGTTTAGTTAATCTAATTTTCCACTTTAAGTTGAAAATAAATTGTGCTACTTTGACATTAAGATTAACTTAGAGGATAATTCATGTAATACAAAAAAGTGTTCTTCACTTTTCTTCTGCCTCTGATACTTGTACAGACCTTTACAGCACCGCAGTCATATGATTAAATACATTGTATATGTCTACATACACTATATCACTCCTGGAAATGATATATTGTAAAGTCCCCATGACCATGCAGGGACTATTTATGATAAAGGTAAAGTCTACTGAATCAGATATAATTGATCACAGGGTTTTCTGTGCTAATCCCACTCCTTTTGATATATATTACATAATACACACAAATTTTTTCTTCAATAGGGACACTTTTGTGAGAAATGAGGCAAATACTTAGTACGCGTTAAGGTTGATGGGCACCTTATGATCTGGGTATACAAATGATAGCCTATTTTTGTTATATAACAACCAGGCTCTCATCTTCTTATTCACTTGACCATCATGCTCCGAACATGAGCTGCATGTATGAGCTTCATCTGATTGGCTGAGGGCATTTGGGGAGAATATCACAATGGCCATAGTTAATTTCAAAACTTGCATTACGTGCAGTGTTGATATGGCATAACTGTTGTGTAATTATTGAGATTACCCCTTGGTTTAATTAACCCAGTTTTTAATGCAACAAGTTTAGCATTTTGGACTTTATAGGTTTCCAGAAGTGTTTTGAGGTTTCCTTAAAGACCTTCACTTAAATACATTTATTATCAATGATGATGTCATAAAAATGATTTACGTGTATGTGGCATCAATGCAGATGAAGAATATAATAGCTTGTATAATGTCATATATAATGGACTTCTTGTGTGAAAAGAATGAATGCAGTTAGTTGTAATTTTTGGAGCATTGATTGACAAACGCTGTTATGGCTTCCAAATAACGACTGAATAATAATGAAATATTAGATAAAGATACTAATGAAAAAAAATTTTCTTTTAAATGTGTTGCTCAAAGACAGTAATAAATTAACAATTTCATTGAATTCTGACACTTCAGTAATACATTTATCTTAATCCTCACCTCGGTGGATTTTTCAATCATGTCATTTTACAAAATTAGAAATAATGAAGCAACACACTGCTTAAAAGTAAATTGTTCCTTCACGAAAATTACTTGGAAGAAAGTGCTGCAAAAGGCAAATATATGATCAACTTTATTGATATTACTAATCAAAAATAGCAGCCCAGATTTTGTAATTGACTCTTGGCAAATATAGACCCTGGAGGCCCTACATGTACAAAACAAACACAGTTGGAAGCACCGGTCAAAACTATCTAATCTTTTGTTCAACCAGCTGGTTTGTGTTATCTTTCCTCCTCCCCACGCTTGGTATGATATGATATGATCAGGTCCCCACACAAGCACTGGGGTACTTGTCTGCTTTAAGTTGGGTACGAAAAGAGGGACATAGAGAAAGATGAGAACGAGTGGAAATAAAGGAAAGAATTTAAATTTTAATCAAGAAATCAATCATAATATTGTAAGAAAATGAGTAAATTGTTCTATTACATAAAATGTTTTGAAGCAGTTGGTTCCTACTGTCACATTATGTATATATAATATTTGGAATTTACAATTTACTGTAGAATAAAGAGGCTGTACTGGTAATTAAATCTGTATTTAGTGCTAATTTAATTAATTAATATTATTATTATTATTTCAATATGCAATAGAAAGGGAGGAGAAAGAAATGAAAAAGAGACAGACTGGGACAAGAAAACCAGCATATAATTTGGTGTTCCATGAAAAATCTTAATGTTTTTGCATAGTATAGAAATAATCAGGAGTCATATCAAATAAGAAAATAAACCAATAAATTTTCAACTTGAGATCATTTTATTCATAAACACAGATCTTGCACAAGATGAAATTAATATCTGCCAGACCACAATACTCTTTTATTATTTTTAGCAATAAATGTTACTAGTTGATTCTACGTGTATATACTACTATAATGTAGTAATTCGTATTTATGCCCCTTGTAAACTCTGAACTCTTCAGATTTTGTTATAGTATACTAGTCCCTATAGATCTTTACTTTTGAAGGTCGGGCACTTTACCGTTGCTTACCAACATCATAAAACATATCTGAAAAGAAACGTACAACTCTTATATGTACAACTCACATATGATATAAAAAACTCCTTACTAAAAAACTTAACACTTCCTTGCTTTTGGCCTTGGAATTCAAATTTGTTTAAAATGTATTTTTACAGTGCACTTGCAATCTGCCAAAGATTTTGTCATAGCAACAAAAATAGCAAGACCTGCTTGCTTAAGTAATGTAACAAAATGGAGCCCATCAAAAAGTGCATAGTTCACCACATGTTAATTGATTTGTCAACTTCAAACCTAATATTGAGTCATAACCCAGATAGCATNATGATGTGGTTGGGCCAACGTTGGGCCAACGTATTACTACCAACGCCAACCATGTGCCAACAAACCAACGATTCCCCTACGTTGGCCCAACGTATGCTTGCTATCTGGGAAACTGCTAGGTTTCTATCTTTTACATACATCTCCAGTCAAGGTACCATGGGATAAATGTAACGTACACAAAATCTAAATACCTTACATGTTCCACACGTGATACATCATTGTCTCACAATGCAATTTCTAAGTACTCTCACAGAACTAACAGGACTTACTGACTTGTATTCAGTTATTTATACACTTTGCCCATGGCCAGTTTTAGTAGTTTTATAGTAAGTGCACTTTTCTGGAATAAATAATAAAATACCCAATCTCAATATTTTGGCAGCAAGGCCAAAGGTGGCATATTACATGCATCACAAGCACATGGAGTCATTTTACAAATACTTTGTAAATGATTTTAACCAGTCACTTGGCATTTAAATCCTTCCTTTTGTAAGGCATAAACAACGCCATCATAAACGTCTCTGGCAAATTTAGATGGCATCTTAAGTTTTGTATCTTTCTCAAAGTCCCGGTGTCCATGATGGTAAATGCTGTTTTCCTCAAGGTTCGTAGTGGCGGGGTTGTATACCCCTGTCTCAACCAAGATGGCGTCAATGCTCTCAACTGATTGGTCATGGAATTCCGCCTCCTCTGGGATCTTGCGGGAGTTGATAGGTATGGTTGTGCATGTCTCGGAGTTTCCGTTGTCTCTGAGACTTTTTATGTACCTGTCATAGAGATTAGCGCCAACTATGTCAACCTCTGGGTTGTCACTGAAACAAAGAATGGGATTCTATGTAAGGGAAATTTTGCTTTTGATTTATTTTTTAAGCATTGGGGGAAATAGTTAAAATTGAAATAAAGTATATTTTAGGACTGATAATCAATATTGCTCAAATATGTCTTCTTAAAACATAATTCATTTGTTGTTAAAATTCATTGAAATTGGTGTTCCTGGTGCTAATTACACATACTAAAACAGTAACAATGTTTATCCCCCCTCCAGAAAAATTTAAAAAAGATAAAATTGGATTCTTTATCTGGTAACTTACCCAAAGAAATAAAGCTTTTTAATTGGTTTTGTAATTCCCATTCTGCGTGCCTGGTTGGTGAGACAGTGCTCTGCGTAACGGAATGTGATCTCACTGGGTTTCCCCACCAGAGCGCTGTACTTGAGATCTCGACCTGTGATCTTCTACAAGACGACAAGATAAGACTTTGTTTATAAAAAAAATTCCCAACTTCATTAGTTACTGTTCGTACAATTAGAGGGGATTGCGACTGTACCCAGTATCTACAAAAATATATGATTCACAGGGCATATATTAGGTATATGTTTTGTTTATTATTATATATGTAATGAAGGCATACTAACTAGCAAAGACAAACAACTTCCCAACAATATTTGCATGATAAGAAAAAAATTCAGGACAAATCCTTACCTTGTATAAGCTTTCCAGGCAGATAAGGAAAGAACCATTGCCAAACCTTGCAAAAAAAGGGTTACACATATATATTTATGTAATGAGTTTATCAATAAACACGATTTTCTAAATGTTAATTATCTCTGGCTTGTTTTTATTATCAACAAGGTTAGTACTTCTGATTAAAAATTGTAATATGGGTATAAGGTTTGGTATAAGTGAGTTGTGTATGGCAATGTGTCATGTGTATCCATGTTTTGTTTAATTATGTTCGATAAAACAGCGTTGGACATGGCAGTGCAATAATTCATCAAGTCCATATGACAGCATATCATTTTGGCAATGTGTTAGATGTGACAGTGTGTTAGATGTGACAGTGCGCTAGATGTGACATGAGAATGTGTCAGATAACTCACCTGGGCATACATGCCTCTGCCATGAACACCAAGTCCATGTTACATGCTAAGATAGGCAGGTGGTGGTCAGGGAACCCCTCTGGGGCAATCTTTGGGTAGCCATTGGTCAGTAAGAGGTCAATTAGGAGCTGGAGGTTAGTCTCCCATCTGTTAGGCTCTCCAAATGTGACAATGGCTTCAACTCTGGGGAACTCTTTTTCTTTGTAACCATTTGTGGCCTGTTGGAAAGAAAAGATAAAATCATAATTCAATTATCAAAATTATATAATTATATAATCAAGGTTTTGACAAAGGCCTGCCTCCATTTAACAGTTAGCAATGAAATAACCATATAATTTGGATTCAAAAATGGAATTTTATAGTACTTTTGTAGATAGCCTTCAAAATGTATTTCTTGAAAATTGGACAGTAGCTTTTTCCTGAAATATGCAAAGAACTTACAATTAATCTTTTTCAGGTTTCATTTAACAATAAGTTTTTTCTTTTTTATTTTCTTTCAAAATTGTGTCAATGAATTTTATTCAAATTTAGAGAGTTATTTTAAAATTTAACTTACCACTTTGACCCTATTGGCATGGTCCACCATATCCAGGAGTGGGAAATGTTCCTTTATATCCTCCATTGTACAAATATTGGTGAAACCAAGACTGTGGGCGGGTTAAGGAAATAAGACTGAGAGAATATATTGCTGGGAGTAGCAATATGTAAAATTATGAGATAGAATAATCTGCATAAGGCTACTACTGAAAATTATGGAAATGAACCATGATTTGGTACAGGTAAAAATTTTACTGATATATGTCAAGTAACAGACACTGATTTTGCAATTAAATGAACAACAATATGACACTGGTTTTATTATCAAGATGAATAAAAATATTTAACATTATTGCTGTGCAGTTTGTTAACAATTTTTTCAGGTTTAATTGGGTAAACAAATGGAACAAAAATGTAACAGCAAATGCCAGATAATGGTTGTTTTATGGAAATGCCCCACCTAAAAAAGTCCCAATATAAACACAGCTATAGTTATCAGCTTCTAGCTTACCTTGTCATCAAATAAATATTCCATACCTGTTTAAAACCAGGTCGACATAGCTCAGTAAACAAGTCTATCAATAATTAAAAGTGTGAGGCAGTAAATATATAGCCTTATCTAGTGGGTGTCCTCACACTGGCAAAAATGACTATCTAGCTGACACTGGTGGCCAACATTAGTTTTCAAAATGCCTTGATTTATTGTCAAAAAAATTAATGAATAAATCAATACCAGAAAATAATTAGGATCTATGCAAAATAATGTGCATCCCTGTCAATACTGTCAACAAGCTTATTACCATACAGGTTACAGCCCAGCAAAAGGCTACCTCCTTAAATCTGCATCCCATAGTGTGGCATGGACTCCCCCTCATTACTTAATTGACTGCTAGAGATACTATACGAGAACAGATCTTTAAAATCCTCCATTTGCTAACAACTTCTTCTACTCTAACAGACCTACTCTAACAGACCTATCAATAAAAAAAAAACAGAATAGAACATTATTGATTAATTAAAGAGAAGCCTATGTTTTAAAGGCCCACAGGTCTACTAATGCCTGTGTAAACATCCCTTTCACAGCACATCAAACATGCACTGAGGTTTACTAGAGTCATGTCAAGAGGGACTGATGGGTGTCATTTGCGATAAAGTCTATTTACTTCTCGA